TGTAATGTATGTAATGTATGTATGTATGTATGGATGGATGGATGGATGGATGGATGGATGGATGGATGGATGGATGATGTATGTATGTATGTATGTATGTGTGTATATATATGTATGTATGTATGTATGTATGTGCGTGTATGTGCGTGTATGTGCGTGTATGTATGTATGTATGTATGTATGTATGTATGTTTGTATGTATGTATGTATGTATGTATGTATGTATGTATGTGTATGTGTGTATGTGTGTATGTGTGTATGTGTGTATGTGTGTATGTGTGTATGTGTGTATGTGTATATATATATGTATATATCCATGTGTGTGGCAAAACCGACGCGGCCGCGATGGCGCTGAATGATGAGGACTCCCCAGCGCGTCTCACAGGCCGCGCTGGCGCGCGGACACTTCAGTGCGGGTCGGTGACTCGGGCGGGCGCGGTATATGGTGACGACAACGGCGGAAACGATGACGATAGTAGCGATGATGGTGACGATGATGGCAATGACTACTGCAAGGCCAATGACGGCGCCTAATTATGCTCGTCGCGCTGGTGGCGATGATGGTGTCCACGTGTCGCTGATGAAGGTTTTGGAAGGATTTCGACATGCGCGCGATCCCGACGCAAGCGAGGGGCCCACATGGAATAATGTGACAGGGATCGTGCGCCCCCCAAGCAAGCGCACAAGTGCAGTCGAATGATTTCGACACGCGCGCGCGAGAAGCCCGAGAGGTCTCATGTGTTTCGGACATGCTAAGCAACAGAATATGGTGTTCATGCGAATTCGCAAGAGCGCGCGGAGAGTTGTTTGAAACGTAACGTTGCAACACCATTTGGTGTTATCTGTTTTCGAGAACTTCGATCTTGAAATCCATACAGAACCCACGGCTGTTGTCAGGGATTCCAGCACGCGCGCGCGACGACGCTCGCGTGTGAATTTCTTTTCATGTCTTTGCAAGGGAGTTTTGAAACTCTGTTGTCTGTTATGAGCGAATGTGGGCACGCATGGTGTTATTTGACAGGGATGATGGGTTGGCGATTAGGCGACCCCTGGGATGGTATGAGTTCATGTCGAAAACAACGATGGGCAGGACCACGCGTAAAGTGCAGTGCCCCAGAGGGGGGGGGAGTTTATATTCCATGTGCAAAAGAGGACCTATGTGGTACAATCGACGTGTTGCAATCCACTCTGCAAAGTTTGTCGATGCGATGCGCAGCAATGCGCAGCCATGCGCGGCGACGGGGCGGCGACGGGACGGCGGCAACATAGCCGCCAGGGCGGCGCAGAGCTCCAGGCGTCGGGCGGCGACGAGGCGGCGACAGGGCAGCGACGGCGGCACCATAGCCGCCAGGGTGGCGCACAGGCCGAGTTCCTCAGAAAAGGAAGGAGGGCCCCACAAGTGCAGGCACTGTTCGGGGATTGGCCAGAGGAGGACGAGACGAGGAGATAATACAGGAGGGGGATACCGAGGAGGGCGAAAAGGAACGCACATGTGAGGTGAAGACAGCAGGAGGACCGACAGGATTACACAGAGCAGCAGAAGGAACATGATGAAATGCAAGAGTAAGGTGAGTATGAGGAGAATCTAGTATATGGTGAAGAATAACTCTAGGAGGATGGGTTTTGCGAGCAAGAGCATCGGAGGTCCAGAGGTGATACCGCACTGAAGCGAGCGGTGCCCCAGCCTGGGCATCCTTTTTGCTCGTGTGCGTGACGCGCGTTTGGGCGAGGCGAGGCGAAGCTGCGCGAAATCGTCCCCTGACCAAGGCCAAGTCAGCAAGCAAAAAGGGGCGCCCCTATCCGGGCCGTGGGGTCCGATGGTTGTCCCGATGGTTGTCCCGAAGGTTGTCCGAATGATTGTTTCCATGGTTGTCCCGGTGATCTCTGAGAGGCCGCAATACCAAACAAATGCGCTCTGCGAGGCCATCGCACCAACAAATGAATTCCCCTGTCCGAGCCGCGGTGTGCAAGTTGTCCCGAAGGTTGCCCCGATGGTTGTCCCGATGGTTGTCCCCATAATTCTTTCCATGGTTGTCCCAATGGTTTTTGTTAGAGGCCGCAATACCAAACAAATGCGCCCAGCGAGGCCATAGTAACAAGTGCGTTCTTCGAGGACATCATACCAGAGGTAACTGCCGAAACGTGTACACTGAGTTCAACTGATGCACGCCACAACGTTGCAGTACAGTGACACCCCTGACGTGGCTCTAGTAGGGATAACTAACACTTGCGAGCCGCAGTAAGCAACCAGCTTGGAATGTATCTAGTTGAACTGGCATGGCTTCGATGTTGCCCCAATTGGAATCAAGGCCGTAGTTCGACCCAGTTGTTGGATGTCGCTCGTGAGCTCGCTGTGGAACTCATCCCGCACCCCAGCCATACGGATATTCCCTGCATGCTCAAATCTCTGGCCGGCATCCCGCTTCTTGGCCTAGTACATGTCGTGGGAATGCTTGTGTTGCATCATGCATCATAAGCGTTTGATGATATAACAATGCTC